ATGAGATTATTTGCTCTGTCAATTAAATGTGGAAAGCTCTTGCCTGTATTACAAAAATACATAGAACTTGTGAATTGTCTTTATACAAAATCTTTATTGTACAAAAACTAAATTTCAAGTTTACATATGTGTATATGTATGTGTGTTTAAAACCCATGGCATCTTTGCTGAGTAACACATTTCTGTAGAGTGCATACTCACTTAGTCTTACAGATTTTAGTGCAGCTGCCAAGAACTGCACTTATCCACCAGTTTGCTTGTTTGCAGTCTCACTAAAAAATTTCACAGGACTAAATTATCTTCAAGCCTGATGCTTCTGTGGGTGATAACAGTGGATTTAGATTTAGGTGAGCTCTGTGGTGTAAATGTACAGGAGATGCATTAGAAAGGTAGATGGAACATCAGTGCAGAGAATGATATACTTTACTCCATTATGTATTCAGGTGCACAGTGATATAGATGTAGAAAGACATTTTTAAATACCTTTTTAAAGGCATTTGAGAAAGGTGAGGCACTCTTTAACCCTGCCACTGCGTAGAAAGATGTAGTTGAGACTTCAGTAAGATGCTATTCAACCTCACACAACTCTTGAAGCCTCACCATGAGTTACATTACAAAGCTTTGTCGCAAAACTTACCCATCTCTCCATAATGTTGCATCCCTTGGCCTCCATCTATTGTGATCAGTTGTAAGTAATCCAGAGAAGGAATCATATCTGTTCTTTACATGTTCTCCTTCTTCTCCCACACTGTCATTCCTTTCATGGCAGCTTATTGACTGTCATCTCTTGGAAGCTCTGCGGAACAGCCAGAAGGATTGATTCTTCCATTACTGCTGTAGGCTATTTCTATTAACATGGGAATAATAATTATTTTTTAGAAATAATAAAATCACCCAAACAATATTAAATTAATATCCTTGGTCTGGGAGAAACCCAGAGGAGTCAGAGCTTTTAATAGCCCTACAAACTTATGCATAGGTATACTGACGTCATGCTTTAATATTAGTCAAACTTCCTTTCTTTTTACATTGTGCTTTACAAGAAGAGCATCTCAAAGAGAGCTGCAGGATATTTCTCAATGTCAATTTTAAAATTTTAGGATTTGGTCAGCAATATAAACTATTTTAAATTATTCTACTGAAGTCAAGCTCATTTCCTGCATATAGGTCCTCAAGGACCATTGTAATTTTGATACAAATACAAGAAGCAATATGTTAGGAACTTAGTGAAAGATATGTACTCCTGCTAACTGCAGGCCATGACATGGTAAAATATAACAGCATGTATGTTTCAAGGAGGTGTATGTAGGAAACCATGTTTTGTTGCTGCTTACGGTGTTAACCTGCAAGTTGTCATCTAAATACATGACTGCCTATCAGCTAATACACAGGAGACTGTGTCTTCTGAGTTTAGTATTCCTTTCACTATTCACTGGTTTCTTTTCCTTCTGTTTTCTTTCTGGCTTTCTTGGGGAAGCTCCTGAGGAAAATCTCAGGGAAAATTTCTGTTTCTTTTCCTAGAAAATAGTGTAGTATGTAAAGTCCCATTGCATAAACTTTTTTATAAAAATCTTGGGAAGGCAGAATTACAGTGCATGACTTGTGGAATGCCTAGCTAAACTCTTTCAGAAGCATTTTCTGGCAAAATTCTAACATTGGTACACCCTTGGATTTTTATACCTACACTTTAACAGGTTAGCACAATGATTGCAATATTCAGCTGGTACATTGAAGATCTTTTTATCATCCCCACTTCCCACCCCATCCCTTTAAAATTAAGCAGTACCAAATGTCCAACCACAGTTACACCAACACACTCAGCTACCTACAGGAACACCAGCTAGTGTACCTTAAAATCCTGTGCTGAGGAATGGAGGTCTGCATGCAGACTTTGGTTTCTTACATTCATCTATGCCATATTCAGATTCAGCTGCCCTCTGGCCTTCCTGAGCCATCAGTGGCTTGTATTCCCAAGTTAAGTGGCATTGAAAAACAGGTGAAAATACTGTTCATAATGGTGATGCATATGTTTGTAAGGCTCAGTGAATTTGCTGGTTGCATTGTGAAGGTCTTAAAGCGCAATAATTTCTTTCATGTTAATGAATGTTAGCGTTCAGATGCTGTGTGTATAATCACACGCTGTTTTTGGCATCTTGAATCTTCCCGTCACTGAGTTCCATTGGCTTCATGTTGGGTATTGTAGAGATCTCAGGTAGTTACAGGAATTCTGAATTAACTAAGCAAAGTGAAAAAATAATCTCTGAAATTAAGAAAAAATTTAAACAACTCTAGTTGTTGTTTAGGGAATGTGGGCATCGGGCTAACAAAATAATTTGCCCAAGATCATGCCAGAACATAAGTTAGAATGAGTATCTTTGGTCCTAAATGAGCATCTTCCAGCTTGAGGGGTAATCCTCATCATTCAGAAGTATGCATGGGATTCTCTGTAGTGGAATGGGAAACTACTAAAACCAAATTACATCCTGGCATCAATACACACCCTTGGCAGAAAAAGCAGCCAAGTAAGGCCAGGCTGAATATTTTGGCCATGCTAATTATGTTTTGATTTTTTCATACCAATTGATATGAATTTATAAAAATGCATAGCTCTTTTTGAAGACTTTCTAATTTATTTATTGGAGGAAATAGCTAATATTTTCATGTTTCTAAAAAATGTGGGTGAATATTTTCAGCAATATGTATAAAAGATAGAAATCATACCAATTAATTAGTTCAACATGTTACATCATCAATACTCTCTTTAATTCAGAGAAGAGGAAAAGAAGCATGTAACCTCTAAACTTCCCCCGCCCCCAGTTTATAATCTATAGTGGCTAAATGGGTAATTTTTGAATGGGTGTAATGAAACTTACTCTTAAGCTTCAGCACTATATTTCAGGTCCAAGCTGAATCAAATTTTTACAGGCAACCTGTTGACCTCTAGGCCAAAAGTGGATAGGGTTGTAATAGAAATGCTGATGAGCCTTAATAAAGCAACTCTTCCAAATGTCAGAGTTTGATCTAGTACATGTAATGTACTATATCACACCTTTTGCATGTAGTGCAAATGACACATGAAGAAATCAAAATATCATCAAATACAAGCAGTGTTTGTCATGTTGGCGCAGAGATCTGAAAAAAGTGGTGAATGTGAGAAAATCTTCTATGGTAAAATAAAAATATCATTTTGAAAGACCTCCTTTTGCAGTACAATTAATTACTGAGTTCATTAATTAATGAACATATTAGCAAAAGAACACCATTACTGACCAGTGTAGTCTTGATATATTACCAGGTCAATACACTATTGAACATGAAACAGGACCTTCCAGGAGATTTTTTTTCTCATAACCCGCAAACACATATATTATTCCTGCACAGTCAGCACTTCTCTGGTACCCTTATATTTCGTATTACTAATTCTTTTAATCACGCATCTGTAGAGCAATGTTTTATAACCTGGCTAATGAGTAATTGGACAGGTGACATTGGGACTGAGGCCCTGAAGTGTCAGGCATAATAGAGCAGGATTTTTTTCCCTCACTAGGTTTTTGAGAGTAAAAGGTTGTAAAGGAGCAGACAGGATAAAAGGAATAAAGGACTCTTTAACAGAAATTTGTCAGAGAAATACAGATATTAAATGTATCCATGAACTATAAATGTCTTTACATTTCTTCTGATGCAGATAAATAAGTGAAGGGATCAAACATTTAAAATAATTCTGAGGCTTTTTCATTTTCAGCAGCCAAGGAGCTTAGCCAGGCCAAGCTAATGCTGAATGTAATTTATTTAAAGTCACTACAGTTAAGATAATATTTTTTGTATGGAAAATATGTGTATTAATTCTTTGTAAAAGGCAAGAGTCTTCATAATTCTTTGGTTTCTCTGTGGCAATGCGTACCAAGCACCCTTCCCCCACCTTAGCCCCCAAGTAATCATCGATTGCATCTAAATCTATAGAGATATCTTTTCCTGGCAGCTCTGGTAGTTACAGTAGATTGTTAATCTGTGAATGATCAGAATAAGCCTCTCTGTCTCAGAAATCTCCATGCAAATCACATCTAAATGCATGCCATAAATTTATTAGTAGCAGTTTGAAGTGCACAGGTCATCTTCTACACTATTTAAAAACATATGTCTGTTACATTAGAAAGAGTCTCATTCAATTTATATTCACTTTTCTGTGGCTGTAGCTAGCCCTTGTCAAAGTAAACCTGTGTAATTTTTGAAATAATTCTAAAAAGGAAGATGAGAAAGTCTGTTATTAAGGAAAGTGTGTTATTAAGCATATTTGAGATCTCTGCATGGGACTGGAGTTTCACTATTCCTACTTTAAAAGAGAGAAATTCTTGTTTAACAAATGGGGAGTTTTAAGAGGTAAAAGGCTATTCCTAGATATTGGAGAAAGTGAGAGATGTAAAGGCAAGTTACAGGATGTTTTTTGAACCAGTCCTATTCTTGTACCTTGATCAGTTTATTGTTTTGGGAACACATAAAATCCATGACTTCTTTTTGCAGAGTTATGTGTTAGGTGAACCCAAAAAGGAAATTCAAAAATAACCTTTGGGTTCCATGAAGGAAGGGGAAATATATTTGTAGTTTTCCTTTCCATATGTGTTTGTTTCCTAATTTTTATCTGGATTTCAAACTGGTATGCTCCTATGGTAAGACATCCCTAGTTTCTTTCTTTATGAAGTCAATGCAAAACCAGGATATTTATGGAACTCTTACAGCATCCTCCTGCTCATACTACCAACTTTTTTTTTTTTCCTAAAGAAAATAGAACAATTTTTAAAAATATTTCAGGAATTTATTCATCTCCATGGGACATACTGACATATGTGTTTGAAAGAAAATTAATTTCTACTTAAAATAGGAGCTAGGCTTTGAATGTTAGAAAGCTGGGGTTTTCTGTGTAGCTCATATCATTCTAAGTATCACAACAAATCTGTACACGCAGGAAGAAATACATTAACGTGTGTCTTCTGTTTCTTTTCCAGGCCATCCGCTGTACACTGGTAAATTGCACATGTGAATGTTTTCAGCCAGGGAAGATTAACCTGAGAACCTGCGATCAGTGTAAACATGGCTGGGTGGCACATGGTAAGAAATATCTGCTCTGGGTTTGTTTTTTCAATTCTTTCCATCCTTACCAGTATCTTTAAATAGTAAGAACTGGATTGATACATACAATAGTGGTACCTATTTGTCTACATATGCATGTGTGCACTATCTGTGTTTATCCTTACGTATGCATGCACATGCTTTTTTTTAGAGCAATTTGCAGGATGTGTCTGTTATTCTGGCGACAGCTCCAAGTGCCACTTTCAAAAGCTTGTGTATAACTCAAAAGAATATTCTAGCCTCCAGAAAATAATGTATTTCCTGTAGGACTTAACAGAAAGGCAAAAAGTTTACAGTATGGTTGCACAGCAGAGTTTGTATTGCAAAGAAGCATCAGCCAAGAAGTCATGGGGCCAAATGGAAATTTAAATTTACCAGTGTCAAACATTCAGATCTCACATGTTGAGAGTGTATCCTATATTGCAAAGAAATTCTGCATATGTGATTTGTGAGCTAAATCTCTCTTCCCATGTTTAAGTATCTTAATAAAGTTAGGAAGGATTAGAATTCCCAGATTAGGCATGAAAGGCATAATAGGCATAAAAATTCACAGAAAGACCTTCTATTTTATTTATCCTTTTCTACTTAATGTTCTTGGAAGGGTTTTATTCTTGATGGTCATTATTAAATTAGCATGAGAGAGCAGGAGAGAGCTATATACACCATTAGAAAGCAAATAAGGAGGATACCTAAGATGATTTAATAAATGAAAAATAGGGAGGGTTTGGGAGTGGTAGAAAGAAAGATTACTATGTGTGGTAGAAATTGCTGTTTAAGTTTTCTTCTCATGATGTAGAATATTGGTACCTAAGCAAGCACAGCCCTCATCCCCCATTTCTGCCAGACATTCAGGGGCTTATATTCTGTGAATTTGATTTTATTTTGATGAGAACTTGGGTGAAAGGTTAGTACTTTCCTCCTAAGATACATTTGATCTCTATTTAGTTCATATCTGTGTGGTTTTGTGCTTGAATATGCTGACATATGGGAAGTATGAATGCTCAAAAAATTCAACAGCATAGATTGACATAGAAGTTTTTATTCACCTGTATGGAAAGAAAAACAGGTATGCAAGTACCATGGAGTCCCATGTCACTGCCTAACATTGCCTGCAGACTGCCTAGAAATGCCCTAGCACCACTTATCTAGTAGCTGGTTAAAAGTTTATTGTATACGAGATTATCTAGGGACATGGTATATCTTTGTTACTCTTATTTCCCAGAAAATGATATTCAGTCACTGTATAACCAGATTCACCTTTCTTAGAAGAATCACTAAACCTCACAAAATTTGTATAGTTCAGGCACTCTTCAGGTTTTGTGTAGAACCAGCATCTGAGGTTTTGGTGATTGGAAAATAGGGAAGCACTGTCTAGGTATTTTCCAGGGTCCTCCTGATGAGCAATAGAAACTGAGAGTCTAGCACTTAGATTCTGGCTCATGGCCATCCTGAATTTTCTTTTTAAGGAGTACATTTTGTAAGAGTTTGGAAGAGAATAATCAGATTTTCCTCCGTGCGACGTGATTCTTCTCTGTGAAGTGATTGAATTCAAAATCAGAATATTATGACAGCAATCTGAGATTACCACTGTGTATATAATGGAAATATCCCTGTTTTACAAATCCAGAAAGTTGAAAGTGGAACATGATGATTTGGAATACACCACCTGCTCCCATGCCTCAGTGCTTAACATTACAAAAAGAAAAATTAACACAGCTATACGTTATTAGGAAGTGTTTATTTTGCTATTGTGCCAAGTGAATAATGCTCTTCTTTTTATTTTTCTTTTTTTTCCTTTTTTTTTTAGTGTACTTTGTGTACAATCATCTGGAATACTTACATTTTATGGCAGAGTGAGACAAGTCAGATATATGTTTCACATCCATCAAGCATGGTCTTGTAAATTATTTTCTGGATACAATTATGTATCTACTTAAATTCTCGATCTTAGCGGTTTTTGAGGATTATGAGGGCAGCATTCAGGAGACAGGTCAATTCACTGCACTCTAGTACCTGGATTTCAAAATGACTAAAATCAGGTTGCAGCTCAAAAGTCCTTTACTTTAAAAATGTTAGCACAGTACTTTCAGAATTTGTTCCTTGAATGCAAAGAGTATTTCCTGCTGCTTTAGTTAAAGGGTTGCCATATAATTTTTATTAATGAATTTCAACTCAGCTCCTTGACACATGATGTAGTGCTTTACTGAGTGCAATTAACAAAGAATAGGTGTTTCTAAGAGGAAGCACTGTGCTTATTCAGTTCTGATTCAGTTCTGGAATCATAATTAACTGTATAGATCAAAAAATACCTTACAACTGCATTCTATTCATGCTGTACTAATACTTGACTAATCTGTGTGGAGTTAATTCATTTTAATAGCTGCCATTTAAAACTTTGGAATTTTTAGAGGGAGGAGGAAAGGGCATACAGCTACCACTGTACTATTGCACTTAGCAACTGATGGCTTGTTTTTTTTCTCTCCTGCTTCCATTGGCTTTCTCACATTTTCCCTCACTCATCTAAAATAAGCTGCACACAGCTTGACAGAAAAGGTTTCCTACAAGTTCAGATACACCTGTCTGGAGTTGCCAAACCAAGAATTGCAATTATATGAACAATATTACATTGGAAAGTACTTTTGTGGCCAGATAAATGCTGCAGTTGTTGAAAGTTCAGCTTACCAAGTTTTGACTCCTGTACTACAGTAGCAATCCTACCATCAGTGTTTTTATCACCAAAGCCAAAACTGCACAGAGCTTTACAGCATTATCAAGTACTGCTGTGCATCGTGGAGAGTGGGTTAGTCCTAGGAAGAATCTCTGAGTATTTTAAGAGATTTGGGTGACTACACTGTTTTAATTTGTTTTCAGCTAAAGTGAAAACAGTGTTTTCATGCAGTGTTTCACCCATAAAGTGTTTTCAGCTGTCTTTCATATTGTGAGGTTGGGTGGGAGTTTATTTTCCAACCCCAAAATTAAATGTTTTAAATTAGATAAGCCATTCTTAAACTTTAAGAAGTCAAACAGATAAGTGTGTTACTTCTTTTTTTTTTTAGTGGTAAAGATAGTTTGTATATTCCATATAGAAAATACAATCTCATTAAAATCTTAATAGTCTTTTTTAACCCAGGCAATTGGGTATTTTGTGGCTTTTAAATAATATGGCACTTAGGTGACTACAAAAAAATAATACTCAAGTGCTTGATTTGTTCTCCTGCTATTTTTTTTTTTTTATTAAAAGAAGCATACTATCCTGTGAAGATAGTAATAAAATTTTACTTTCTTTTTAGGAAATAATGAAAAAGCCTCACTCTATTTGCCATTTATTTCCTCTAGCTGAAGTATCTTAGCCTATGAGAAAAGAAATTAAGCAACTCTGCAGTAAAAAGACATTCATTTCATTGACTTTGCATTTTGTCTTTTGTATTTGTCATTGATGTCAGAATAACAATTACCATACTGCTAGCAGTAACACACTTATTATATCTTGTCCAACAGATCAAAAGACACAGTGCAAGCACAATCTTACCTACTCTCATAACTGTTTTGCTCCAAAAAGATGTGTTAAGGTGACATAAGTTATAGTGGACTAAAGCTATTATTTCTGATATTCATTTTACTTATTTTAGTTTCAATACCCTCACAAAAAAACCAACCAAACAAAAGAAAGCAAAACAACCCCCCAGAGTATAATAATATTACTAAGTTTGTGTGAAATCATTGTCATCTTGTTTCAGATACAATCAGAAAATTAGAAATGACAAGTTTTTTTCTTACCCTGAAATGGGTCACTGGTAAATCTCAGAGATCAACAGCATGTTTCTGGTATACTGTATGTACCAACTGTACCAACTGAATTTTACATTAATCAATCCACTCTAGGAAACTTAGCATCCTCTAAACATTTTTGCTCTCCCCCCTCTTTTGTTCTTTCTTTTTTGTTTTCCCCTCATAGAAAAATGTAGTCTTTAGTCTTCTAATGATCTTGGATGTCTTTTCATTTGCATCATGCCAATCAGCTCAGGTCAGGGCTCAGCTACTCATTCAAGTAAAGTTTAACACCTTTCTAAGGTATGGTGAGGCCACATACAGTCCCAAATAAGATTTGGTCAGATGTTCTCTACAGTAACTTTAAGTTCTGTTTGGTTGTAATAAAAAAGATGAAATAACATTAATTAGTAGATTTTGGCACATAGGGCCCATCCATTATTTTTCTGACTAAAAGCTGCCATACAGTGAAGAGTAGTAGTCAGAGACTTGCCATGTGAGTTACAATTTCACCTTGTAAAGGAATTTTTCTGGTGCTAGTACTTATATAAGGCAGGTGCTAACTTGCTGTTAATGAGACTAAGAATTAGTCTCCACTAAGACTAACCTCCATTAGAAAATGGAGAATGTCATAAAGTCAGATGCATTACATGGCTGTGACTACTTCATTTAGAATGGTTGAGTTTTCTGATTTTCTGCATGTTAGATCATGGAATTGTCAGTTAAAAGGAGCCTGAAATGAAAACAGAAGGAGGGATAGGTGGAAATAAATAAAGAAAAGAAACAGAAGAATGCTGTGGAAATTTTAGAAATCACATCTCTCCCTCACCCTGAAATTTGGACTTGATCTAGGAAGAAGGTTTAGAATTTAAATGTGAGTTGCATAGGAATGAGATGGGAATGAGTGCTGTGTTGAAATAAAATTAATCTGAATTCCTATATTTGTATCAGTCCAAAGATGTTAAGTGAAAGAAAGGTTTGCAAAATCAAAGATCATCTCTAGCAAAGTAAAACAAAATGAAAAGATGTCACTGATCCTAGAGTCTCTCTAAAAGCTGGCAGAACTGCCATGTTGTTCTTTACTTAAAAATGGATATTTTTAAGCAGAGAGTCAAATTTTAAAAAGGGGAAGGAAAGAACTAAGAGAGAAACGTAATTATAGTTGACTAGTAAAATAATTGGGTCATATCTGCATCATCTGGTAGGATATA